GACTTCTGTGTCTGGCTTCTTTCACTTAGCACAATGTTTCAAGATCCATCCATGTTGTAGCATGAATCAGTACTTCATTTATTTTTATTGCCAAATAATATTCCATTGCATGGCCAGACCATATTTTGTTTATCCATTCATGTGTTGATGGACATGTGGGTTGTTTCCAGTTTTTGGCTATCATGAATAGCTGCTGCTGTGAACATCTGTGTCCAGGTGCTTGCGTGAAGGTGTTCTAGTCACTCTTACCCATAAAAACATAGAAAAATAAGCCAATTACCAATTGAGAAACTCATTTAATCTGATCATACCATATTATTTAAGATATAGATAATTGGGAGAAATAAATGACCATAGGAAATGCAGAGTTAAAGACATGAAAAAGCAAGAGCAAAACCTGATCTAATGGAATAAATAGTGATTGAGGAAAGAAGTGCTATTTCCAGGGATAGGCCCTACAGGCACATTCTCACATCACCGAACTCTGTACCTGCAAACCTATTTGTAACCACACAAAGCAGGTATTCAGCAGTAGGGGCTAGTTAGATAAATCACAACACCTCTAGAGAGCCAAACACGAACGCAGCCATGAAAAGGAATGAACTAGGAAATGCACTGATATGGGATGACTTCCCAAACATATTTAGTTAAAAAAAAGGCAAGGTTCAGGAACTTTTTGAAAAGGGTAGGAAAAAAAGAAATTGCTTACAAAGTATTTCTAGAAGGAGATACAGTATGTGCCTCCGGGGAACCAGGCTCCTGGGGGTAAAAACAGGACAGAAGCCACACAGTGCACTGTTCTCCAACTGTGAATGTGACTATGTTGTATTCCAAAAGAAATTTTTTTAACCCTTTAGGAAGCAAAAATAAAGAGAATCTGTGAGAATAAAAAATTATACTTAAGAAAGCAAGAGACAAGAGAGGCCCTGGGTAGTTGTAAGCAGCCAAAATGGAGGAAACAAATAAGGGAGCTGCTCCCACTGCTGTGTTAATCCTCCTCTGGGGTGAAACCTACCCAAATCCAACATCTCTACTGAGGTCAATGCCCTAAGAAAATGTTGCAAACAGACACTGAGAATACAAAGGTCTCTTTTGCCCTCAAAGACCTCCCGGTGCAGAGGGGAGACAACTCTCGTTTGTGCAGTGACCAAAGGCATGGCTCAGAAACACCATTTGGGCGCAGAAGCTGCTGTGAACACGGTGGGGCGCAGAAGTTGCTGTGTGAAGGGAGGGATCAGGACAGGATCCTCCTGGGGCAAGCCCCATTGAGGGTAAAGGAGATGAAGGGGCCACTCAAGCTCTGCTTGTTTTGGGCAGAGCGGGGAACGCGGAGCAGGTCTTGGCCTTTGTACCAAGGGCTTGGCTGGTGTCACCGGAGAGCAGAGTGCTAGTCAAGCACACAAGGAAAGAGCGGTCTAAGGGGCATGTGAGGCCAGGGAGGAGTGCAGGGCAGGGGAGCAACCAGCTGGACATGCTCTGGGCCTGCTCTTAAGCCTGGCATAGTGGCCGTGGGACTGTCCGGTACATCACAGGATGCTGAGCAGCATCCCCAGCCTCCACACTTCCAGGGCCAGCAGCACCCACCCCCTCCAAGTTGGAACAACCAAAAACTTCTCCAGATGAATGACCTCTGGGTGAGAACCACTGCTCTGCACTACACCACCTGAGCAGCTATGTGGAAGACAGAAGGGAGGGAGCCCACCCAGAAGGCACAGCTTAATGCAAAAGGGCACAGGCCCTGGACCATAAATTTGAGGAAGGATAAATTCGGTAACTACTCAGGAGGTACAATGAGTAGGATCTGCAGCGAACAGATGTAGCTGGGGGAGGACCTAGGGCACCAAGCTCTTCCAGGTAGCAAACAACCAGATGATGGTCCTAAAGCACCAAAGGGCTGAGGTCAGAAATAGAGGAGGCAGGGTCTGAGAAGCCTAATCCGGAGGCTGGCTGCAAAGTCTGAGGCGGAGGGAAGAAGTCTGGCTGGCACCCTTGCCCTGGGTGAGACCATCCAGACAGAGCATGAGGCAGGCTCTTTTTTTTCCCTTGGGGGGGGGGGCCAGCCCACCCCAGCACACATGCAGGAGAAAAGGCTGGGATGGACATTTTTAAATCTATCTTTAGATATTTTAAATTTTGCTCACATAAGCTGTTTCATCACCATCTGTTCTGAACATTAAACCTTCTCACCTTAAACTCCACAAATGCCCAAAGACTCTACTTTAAAGGAGAAGGATTCCCCCCAAGTCTTAGTGTCACAGATTTAAAGGAGATGAGATGTAGTTATCTAGGGTAAGTCTAAGATACTCTCCCTAAATCTGAAAAAGAGAATCATCTCCTTGGAAAATGAGGACTCTTCCTGCTTTGCTCTGAAGCAAGTTAAATCTTATTTCTCCCCACAGCTTAGCAAGACAGCATGTTACAGAACTGGTAATTCCAAGTTCTCACTCTGTTGCTTATTCTTCACCATCATTTACGTTTGTTAATAACTTATCTTTCCTATTCCAAGGATAACACTGTTAAGTGAAGTATAACAACAATAGCTTCAGTGGTTTAATTTGGAGAATTACCCAAGAACTGCTCTAAATCTCACTGCTGTCTGCAACAATCCTACCTACCCCCAAGGACAATAAGGACTACAGGATTCTAGAGTGGCTCATTAGCAGCTTTCTTCTTCTAAATATATTTTATATAACAATTTATATATTACAAATCCCTAATAGTTGACATATAATGTATCTAAGTACATAAGATCTGTTCCTCATTTACCTTTATAAAAAGACTTGGTTTTTCCCTATATGATCCCAGCTTGCTTGTGCAAGAAAACAGAGTCAAAGACTTGAAGTTAATGTAAACCCAGGACGGTGACTCTGGTAGAAAACTGCAGAGCCAGCAGACAAGCGGCGGGGGCCCTGGAAACCAGATCTGGCAGTGGTGACCCCTAACACTTACACTGCACCTGACACGATGTTTGAGTGTTCACTCACTGAGTCCTCACAAGCAACCCTAGGAAGCCAGTATTACTGGTGTCCCATTTTACAGGTGAGAAACCAAAGGCACAGAGTACAAAGCCATAAGCAGAGGAGTCAGGACTCAGAGGCAGGCAGTCTGGCTCCAGGACCCGCCCTCTTCACTCTGTTCTCCAGCTTCTTGGCAAGACAGCTCACTGGACAACGTGCAGAGAGACCGACTGGCCTCTGCTCATTCAGCGAGCAAGCCTTTGAGGGTCACCAAGTCTGCGCCCAGGACGCCTTACGAAACGAGTCTCCCTGTTTTACAGTCACACCTCCTATCAAATCTCCTTCCCCTCCCCCAGCGAGGAGAAACACACCTAGCTCATTGTGAAAGGGGAGCCGCTGACCGGGAACCACCTGCTGTTTACAGAGGCACCCTGGACCCACAGGGTTTAATTCCTCTCACTGGCTTCAAAGACAAATCTCCTATTGTCTACACCAGGGGAGGAACACGAAGCCTTGCAACTGCAGGTTTCTGCAGAGGTCACTGGAGGTTTGGCTAAACCCAACCACACCGAACGGAGGCCGCGGTGGGGTGGGGGGGAGGGCGCTGCATTTTTGCTGGTGAAGGTTGCGCAGCGCCCACAGCAGCTGCTGGTGGGAGCAGCATGTAACACACCCACAGCTGCCGCGGCCTCGCAGCCCGCTGCACATTTTAAAATAAAAGACGTCCTGACCCACAAGAGGCACAGCCGGCCTCACTCGCGCCCTCGGCACGGAACACTGTCTCCACCCACACCACTCCCGCAACCGGGAAGCGGCAGAGGGAATTCCAGCTCCCGGAGGGCTGCGCCCCCGAGCGCCCCAGCCCGCGGCGCTGCAGAGGCCAGGTCCGCGCGGCCTTCGGCCACGGCCCGACCCAAAGACGCGCGTCCGGACTCCCCGCGCCGGACAAAGCGCCCCCGCGCCCCGCCCTGACCGAGCCCTGCAAACCGCGCCGACGCCCCACACTCTGCCCCTGCCCTCCACTCACGCCCACCCACCCACGGCCGCGCACACTCGCGCGCACCCTCAGCGGGGCATCCTCACAGTCACCCTTGGGCCAGGTACACTCACACCCACACTCACCCATGGCCGGGCACACTCGCACGCACGCCCACCTCACACCCTGCCCCCGCGCGGCCTTGGCCCCTTGCGCCCCGTGCCCCCGCCCC